AAACCAATAAAATATGCAACTATTTGCAATAAGTTAAATATGAAGAATTTAAAGTAATTATTTTTGTACTTTATACCATATATGCACATATAATTGAAAACTTAAAAAAGTAGTTTATTACCTTGTTTTTGCCTATTTTACAAACTAGATTAGGATATTCATGGGTGTTCGTTTTCAATCAGGTATTTTAGATTTCTTCCAATACATATATGAATATACCTATATTGTAATACAAAAAATAAATTACTAATTCTATTAAAATAGAAATCCAGTATTGTATGTTGGTCTGTAATTCATACTTTTTGAACGATCGTCACCTTTATGAAGGTGGGAAGTGGACCTTTTTTTTTATGATGTGACCATGACGGTGAAGGTGGCGGTAATAATCATAAAAACTGAAACTATTCCATATTGAGAATTGCATTTTAATTAATTAAAATTTGCCTTTATTCAATAAATTAAACGCCTTGTAGGTTCAAGAACTAAAAAGAAAACTCTAAAATTTGAATAATAGCATATTTTGAACAGATTTATTAAAACAATATGTTGGTACATTTTAGTCTATCTTTTCAAAAATGCGACATTCTTGATTTGAAACTTTCTAAAATAACAATTTGCATATATTTTAGGAAAAACAATTTTGCATAAACAAAAATTAAAGCTTTTACACGATTATAATTTTTTGTGCTTTGAAAATTTTATATTTTCTTCTGCTTTTCTTAGTAACCTTTTTTTGTACAATATTAAAGTTTTAATTTGTCTAAATTTGGAGAATTAAGAAATTGATCCATAGTTTTCTTTGAATTCGTTCTAATTTGGTATGAAAATCGTGAAACTGAAATTTTAGCGCAAATATTATAATCTATTATTTTGCTATTTATGAATTTAAAATAAATCAAAATTTGTAAAAGTTTGGGACTTGACTTTTTAAACAATTCCCAATTCTTAAATACATAAACTTATTATTCCGCCGTGTAGAACAGAAATAATTTTGGAGAGAAAAATTTTAATGTAGAAAATTATCTATTAAATTTTCCAAGACATTAAATGTTCTTAATTTATGAGCATGCATGAGTGACTTAACGCAAATCCATGCAGCAAATAATCTAAAGTTGAGAAATAGCACGCTAATTGATAAGCTCATCTTTTGAAACCAGTTATTTTTCTAATGCTTAGTTTTAGTATATCGAAAAATTCATATTTTGCCTGGACTAATGTCATCTATAATATTATCCATGATTGTAACACGAATTCCGGCTTCACTTTTGAACGTATAATCTAAATGAGACTTATTTGTGTTATGGAATTTGTTTCAGTAGGCTGCTAAGATTTGATATTATTCTGTTTCTTATTAGCAAAAAAGATCTTTAGGTAAATGCTAGTCTGACCATAATTTTCTGACAAGTCAATGCATTATATTTGCTTTATAAAATTCGTAAATTAATAACTGATATTTCGACTATTTCTAGTAATTAATTTAACTGATCAACGACTGATCCAAGTGCTTATCCATGACGATATGGGATCATATAAGTAATAGGTCAACTCAGTTCATACACTCTTTGGAACATGCCATCTAACTTACAAACAAAAAAAATTGTCGTATGATATAGAAAGTGTGGAATCCGACCACTTAATGATGGAGTCACGCTAAATATTTTAATTATTTAGTTTATTTTATCGCCCCAGCATCCAAAATTTTTTACATTATTTTCACTTTTTTTTGCATTAAAATTTTAATGAAGATTAAAAATTTCCTCACATTTTTATAATTGGTATTTTTACGTTTCTTTTAGAGATAAACCGTTTGTATCGATATTGTCGTTATCTTATTTGTTACAATTCATACTGAAAACATAATATCATTAAAGCAATCAGTGTTATAACAATTAATGTTGCGATAATGTTAGGGTAAATGAATTAATTATCTTGATATTTGTGTTGTTTGAATTTCGTTCTTCTTCTAAAAGGTTATCATCACCGTTATACTTTTGGTTTTTCATTCTTTAAATTTTTTTTTCCTTTTCTTTTTCACATTTAATTCGTGTTGTTTCTCTTTCTTTTCGTTTGATTTTTTTTTTAATGGATTCATTAATTGAATTTCTATTTAGTAAGAGAAATAAAAAGTGGAGTAATAAAAAAGAGACAAAAAAAAAGATGCCAGAAATCAGGTTGAATTTTAGATTTTTAAACGGTTATGAAACTGGAACGATCGAATTTCTAAAAATAAAATAAAAATAAATTTTTCGTTTTCATTTTTTTTTTGAATATTTTTAATAAATAAAGTGTTTTTAATTTTTATAAGTGAAAATTAAATTGTAATGTTTTTCTAAATGTAAACTTAATAAAGTTTGGTCAAACCAAACTTGGTTTGTATTGTAGCACTTTTCTCTTCAACAATTAAAAATACTCCTTTTAAAAACAATCTGTGTATACCCACCACACCTTTAAAATTATTTTCATTTATATACGAAACTATTTCATTAAGGATTGCATACATTCAGGATGAACGATTTATGCAGTCTTTGAAATAAAGCAAAAATTAATTTTAAGAGGCGTTAACGTAATTCTCAATTTTAAGGTTAAAAGCTTGAGGTTTCAGAAATATAAGGCGTCAAAAATTCAAATTTTACAAATTTCTAGAGGCGATAGCTTGAGAGGGGGTTGTAGATGGAAAAAAATTTTGTTCTAACGAAATAAACTATTTATTAGTATCTAAAACCTGTTAAAATTTCACACTCCACAATGTACGGTGTGGAAGAAAAATGGTATCCAAAATTAGAAAAAAACTAACTTTAAATAACCGTAAATTTTAGCGGCCATTTTGTTTTTTTAAAGTTTAAATATAGTATGCCGTGGTAGAAGAAGCCAGCCATTATATTTTTGCGTTTGCAAAATTTAAAAAATGCTTATAGTTTCACTGCAGTCAATAATTAAAAAATGGCATTTTTATAGTTTCAGGAGGGTATAACTTTTAAAGGGGTTAGGGTTTCCAGTAAAGATCTATGTACGTAAAAAATTTCAGCTTTTTATCTTCAAGGGTGTAGAAGTTTTGTAAACGGACACATGGACAGACGGACGGACGGAGTGAAACTAATGAGCACTTTTGTTCAAAAATATTTTTGAAAAGTGCTAAAAATGAGCATTACAGACATGTACACATAAATACGTATATAAAAAGTTCGATGTTTCTTTGTGAGTTTTAAATTTTTGGTTAAAAAAATTTTAACAAGCGCCTAGATTTAGTACACAATTTTTGATTAATTTATTCTTACTATTGTCTTTGAAAGAAATTGAAGTAGAAATTTTTAAGAATAATTAATTATTTGCAAGGAATAGGTAAAAGTGTCGTAAGGAATAGTTGTATTCAAACGTAAAGTTCAAATAATTCCTCCAAAATAAAGTTCATTGAAATTGTTCTCGCTTCAGGCACTGAAAAACAGGAAGTTAGGAGGTAGTTGTAAACTACATAGTTTCAATTCAAAGTTTATAGCTACGTTCATGGTAAATTATTTTTATTTCTAAGTTATTTTGGAATATTTTATCAATTATACTGCTCTTCAATTCATTTATAGATTACAGTCAAACCTCTATAAAAAAACTCCCGTGAGACAAATGTCTCCTTAATACAAACTGTTTTGTTTTACTTTGCATCATGCTTGTTTTTATTCTTCACAGAAAATTTTTATTTATAAAAATTGTAGAACTCACGGTTCTGTTTTGGTATCTTACATCATTATAAATTTACAATACGTAACATAGTTAAAACACTTTTATTCCATAGGCCACTATAAGTACACTATACCGTACTTATTATTAATTCCTTTTCGTGGGCTGGACATTTACATAGATTCGACTTTTCTTCAACATCATATTATTTTAGATCCCTTTCAGGATTTCAGGATCTTTAAATCATGGACGGCTAAGTTCCGGTTTCTTAAAATGTCCAGTAAATGTGTTTTTTTTACAAACCGCCATATATTAATGAACTCAATAATATTATACTAAAGTATCGTCTCAATTAATTCAGTGTATTTATTGGCCATTAAGGAACGTACGTATTCATGCGAAATACGTTGATTTCTACAATAAGATTAGTTGAATACGCCCTGAATTGTAAGACAACGTTAGAAGTATCAACGGGATTACATATAAATTTCTTTACAAAATTCCCTAAATCTTTTCGTACGTATATATACAAAATTACAGAAAATGGCTTTATAAAACTTCTGAAAAAAATTTTAAGTTTACTTTGTGTTTTGTACAAACTTTTAATTCAAATTTTATATTCGTAGTAATTTTGCAATATTATTAATACTAAACCAACTGTATCTATATGAAATTTTGTTACTAGTTATTTTAAATAAAACTAAGAGTAATAATTATGTAGTTGTCCTTTAGGTATATGCTATTTACTTATTGAAAATCGAGCCTTGATTTCAATATCGAATTTATTTATAAATTACCTAAACACTTACTTATTGCATGGCGCGTGTTTAAACTGAAAATTTCATTGTAGGACCAAATATTTTAATTTGCATTATTAATAGTTAATAATTAAATTGTCAGATACTTTCCAAACAGTCAAAATAAACATTTCCATTTTCAAATGTTGAAACCAATTAAAATGGTAATTAAAGTCTTTTTACTTCGTCGAAATGAAAATTTAAAATTGAAATGAGGTCACCGCAGAAATAACATTTTCTTCTGAAAACTTCCAGAAAAAATTTAATTATGGTTTTTTTTATTTATCTACATTTTATTTATGATGTCTAATTAACTTGTCAATATCTCAATATTGCTGCCTTAAAGAAGAAATGAGATATTCCGTGGAAAAAAAATAATATTAAAGGATTTTGTATCTACATTTTCTCTTTCCTTTAATCAAAAATTATTTTACAAATTTGTTATTAATTAAATAAGTTAAATTAAGTAAGTTTGTAGTCTCCTTATTAAATATTTTAATTGTAACACCGTTTTGTTTTTTCTTTTAATTATAGTTGTTCACGCAAATGGAATAGAAAATCAGAAAACTACAACATCCGTTCAATCTCCAGCTTATAATCCATCTCAATCAAGTAGACAATTGAATGATAATGTACCAGTTAGATTAAAAGTATTTGGTGGTAATTCAAATGTACCACCAAAAATTGTTGCAAGATATGCGCCTCCACCACCACCTTCCCAACAAATCAATCAACATCGATACTATAGACCAGTTCAAATGCCAGCTATTCGACGTCGTTATCAAATTTCAAATGGTCCAGTGATACAACAAAAACGTTATACACCATCCAGTTATACACCACCATCAAGTTATAATAAAATGAGAAGATATCCAACAAAATCATATAAATATCCAATTTATTATAAAAAGAAATCAATTCCCGGAAATTTTAATGCAAATCCTGATTTGCGAAAAGGATATCAACAGTCGCAAGGTCCACCATTAGAAGCAAAAATATCAAGTCATCAAGGTTATCATCGTATAAATCAAAATAAAAAAAATTTTTTACCATCTCCACATTTTGATGGAAAAGTTATTGTTAAACCTACCGAACAAAAATATGGTAGTGGATTGAAAAGTGATAATGTTATCGGAAAAACACAATACGCGAGTAGTGCATTAGCACATCAATATGTAAATTTCCCTGAGCAACAACAATCAGAACATTATTATCGTCGGGAACGTGAGCCAAATTTCAATAATCAACAATATTATCAATCAAAACGTCCATATGGCGAACAATATTATCCACCAAAAAAATATGGTAACACAAATAATTCACCATATAATAAATATTCATCATACTCTGTTTATGATGATTCAAACAATGAAGATGATGATGATGGCAGTGATTCCGATACAAATTATGTTACAGAATCACCAGTAAAATATTATGTTGGATCAACTGATTCAACTATTGGAGATTTTCAAGCTAAAAAATATTTGGATTTTATGACAAGTAGTGATTATTTTCTACCAAAAGTTTCACCTGACTACCATACAAAATCAATAGCCTATAATCATAATCATAATCATAATAGTAATAATAATAATCATTTTAATTTCCCAACATCTACAGAACCAATAACATCAAATTTTAATAATGATTTATATCAAAATTATAAAAGTCAAAGAATTAATTTGGGTCCCGGATCATCAACTGGTATAAGAATTTCATCAAAAATATCTGCAAGTAATAGTAATAATATTAATACAAATAGTAATAGTAATAATAATAATGATAATATTGATTCAATCATTGTTGGCCATCATAACAATCATCATTATGATAATCAACAACAACAGCAGCAACATATACAACAGAATACATTTTATAGACCAAGTAAAAAACATCAACAAATAATACATCATCAGCATGCACCGGAAAAAATTGAGTTCACTGAAAGCGATGCAATTCATTCCAGTTATACAAGTAACCCAAAAGAAATTCTTGAACAATCGGCATCATCAACATCATTATTAGGTGGTGGTAGTAATAATATTGCATCTTCTGTTGATGATATTAAAGCAAAATATGGTTTAAGTCCTAAATATAAAGTTTCATATCAAAGTGCAAAAATTCATCATAATCATCATCACAATCAATATCCACAAAGAGGAATTGTAAAATACCAATCAGATGTTTATGGTAAAAATAACAGTAATGATGCTGATAATAATGATGATGATGGTGATGATGATGGTGATGATACTGATGATAATAATAATACCAATGACGATGTAAATGATGAAAATGCTGGTAATTTAAATGATGATGATGTAAATGAGAAGTAAAAGAAGAAAAAAAGAAAAATACTAGAAAAATTGAAATTGGAAGCAGAAATAAAACAGAACAAAAATAAGGAAAAAAAAACAAAAAATAAAAAAAAATAAATGAAAAATTTTCATGGGTGATTCAGACAGTGAAGGCAGAGAGACTGGTTATAGCATTGATTATTATTAAAAAAAAAGGAAAAAAAAAAAACAAAAAAGTTAAAAGAAAACTTTTAATTTTTATTTATTTATTATTTTTTTTTTGTTATTGAAAAAAAAAAAATTAAAAAAAAAATGGCAGCAAAAAATTATTTGTTTTGTAAATTCAAAATTATTTATTGTAAAATCAAAAATAATTAAATTTAAGGAATGTTTTAAAATAAGAGAAACAAAAAAAAAACAAAGAAAAAAGAAATTCAAATTTTAATTTTATGGATTTTCTTTACAAAAATGACGGAGGGGAATGGACGAAGAGAATAATTTTATAGCTGTAGGGGAAAAAATTTTAAAACATTTTTTTTTATCTCGCTCAATTTCTTTTGCACATGAAAATATTTATAGAAACCTCTTGCACACACATAACATGCTTACATTCATATATGCGTAAAAACAGTTAGTTAATTAATTTCTGACATAATTTTCCAGAAAAAGCAGAAAGTCAAAAGAATTCAAACGTAATAAAATGCATGATAATTTGGACTTTAAAATTATTATTTTTTTTAACTTTTATTTGTGCTTGTGACAGTGTTCTGGGTATAGTATTTGCGCTCGTGTTATCGTAATTGCTATTTGATTTGTACAAAAATTATTGCATTAAATGCGAGAAGAATAAGATTGAAATTATTATGTTGTCGTTTAAAAATTTGAAGCAGTAGCCATAATTTTACAAAATATGGGGCTATTAAGCTTAAAGTGGAACCAAATTCCGTGCAAATATTTCAATACTTGTGCTTTGTAAATTCAAAGATTTTCTAAGTGATAAGTTTAATTTTTTAGCAGGGCTAGTTGACAAGATATTATTCATTTACTCTGAAAATCAATTTATAAATAAGAAAATTTATATATGATATACTGGTGTTCATAGATAATGAATTCGATATCCATTTCAATACTGTATTAGAGAACTGGAAAAGCCATAAAAAAAAATTTTATTCTTAACAAAATAAAGCATTTTATTTTATTCTTAACAAAATAAAGTGTTGTCAGGGCTTAAAATCTTTTTAACTCGTTTATGACTAAGAGCTAATTTAAATTGTCGGAAAAGATTATTTGGTTTAGGTGGCTCAAATGGAGAAACCCTTTCATTTTGCATTAGAACATTCAGAAATTTGTAGTCAATTCTTATTATACCAATTAATAATTTAAATAATATAGATTCAGACCGAAATTTCTGTTTATAACAATTTAGTTATTGCTACACAATTACAAAAATATTTTAATATAGCATTTGAAAAAAAAAATAGCTAAAATTATGGAAAAAGTTATTAAGTTTTCAAAACAAAATTAATAATTTTAATAAATTTGTTACAGAAAAAATACTTTTCAATTTTATCCCTTTTCACTTACAGCCACAGTTACTTGTTGTTGTCATATTCATAATTTAATATTTTGTAGTGCCCATATTAGAACGTCCATATAGTAAAATATTCCTCTATTTAATATTTTTCTAGTATACTATGTTTTATAATTGTATGGAGAATTTAAATAGGAAACTACGAGTAGAGTAAAAAACTAAAAGTTGTAAAGTATCGTCTCAAAATTATAAATTAAATTTTCCATTAGGAAAATGAAATTGTTCGAATTTTTTTCTTCTTGTTATAAAAAAATATTAAAAAAAAAAAGAAAAATTAAAAATAAATATTATGAATAAGGAAAATTGTCTGAAAATATTTCATTTCAGAATTTCAACTTTCGGGTAGTGCGTATTTTAAAGGATTTTTCTGTTATTTATCGAAATATTAGCTTACTATCAAGCCATTTGAAAATATTTCTAAGAAACTTTGAAAACTTATAATTTTTTTGAGTTTGTTAATGGCAAATTTCATCAAGGGCTCAGATAGACATGCATAATTTTCAATTTTGCCAACCAACTAAACTGTTGCGTCACCTCAAATCGAATGGGTTAAATAAATATTGCAATCAGTTTGCAAAAAATTACGCAGTGGCGTTTGTATGCGTTTGAATGTAACCTTATATAATACGAATAAGCAATCAAAGAGCTCCAAAACGAAGAATTGCATGTCTGAGCTAGTAATAAATTATTACTAGTTTGTTTAGCATTTTCGAGCAACCTCTTACATATACATGTTATACATAAATTATTGTTTGAATTTAGTTTGTAAACGCTCTTCTTTATGGAAATTCATTTGTTTATTTTACAATTTTAAATATTAAGGACATTTATTTTCTAAAATAAAAATATTGAATCGTCTATCAGAATTGAAAGTGAATAACTATAATCGTCTGAATACGACACGTTTTTTTTTCAGCAGATTTTTGTATCGAGTTCTCAATGGTATACAGCGTATAGTTAAAAATGTTATGTATGCTTTCTCATATTAAATATGACAATTTTAAATGGTTCAAAGTCAAATGTACTGCTTGTGAATAATGCTAGTATGTTGATCAATCCAATAATTTACTTCAATATGTCTGTAGCACACGAGAACTTTCCTCTCATATCGCATTACAAATGGAACAAGAATTGTTTAATAATGAAGTAGGCAACCATTATAAAAAGCATAGGCAAGATTATTTGTTTAAAAAAAAGTAGTTTTTTCTTAATAGAGGACAATAAAAAAGTATTTGATGAAAAGTTTTTTTTTATTTTTGTTTTGCAAAAAATAATCAATTTATCGAAATAAATTTGAATGCAACAAAATAAATTAAATTATGAGATTTTTATAACTGAATTTATAATTTATTTTTATAAACTGAAAAACGGAGATTGATGAAATGAGAATCAGGACAGAAAATTGAATTTTTTTTTTTATTTTTAAAGTTACTAAAACAATTATAGAGTTTTTTATTTTTTGTAATGAAATGTCATAAAAAATATTATTTTAAATAAATTGAAATACCCGAATGCAAAATTTCATTATAAAATGACAAAAAAAAATAATTGTGTTACTAAGGATTCAATTTGAAAAAGTTTAAAGTTCGAAAAAAATGCAATTTCTCTGCAATTTTAAAAGAAGAAGAATGCATGAATCGTCAAACAATGCGGTCATGCGGCAAATATTTTTGAAAAAATGTTTCAAATTTCGTTCATTATTGAGGATGAATGAGTCGTTGAAGTCAAAAATCTATATCAGTTGAAAATATTAAGAGTTTTAAGTTTTGCATACTCTGCAAATTAAATGTCAAATAAATAGATTGAGAACGCAATTTTAAATATAATCTAAAAATTCTTCTTTTCTAATTTCAAATGTTGGGAGTCAAATAAATAATATTATAAAAATTAATCTTTACATGTTGTAAATAATATTTAGTATGTTAGTAAATGGTTCGCATATCATATACAGGTTCAGCACCGCTACTTTAAATTATATCACTTTACATAATATTTTCTTTTAATTTTAAAATAGATATTGAGAAAAAAAATTTTAAAATTCAAATTTATAACAAGATCAATTGACATTTTCTCGACTCTTATACAACACCATTATACAAATATAACAAACTGTGCAGTTATAGTTTCTATAATTGAATTTTATACTTTTTAAAAATTCATTCCCTTGAATATTATAATTTTGCGATTTTAATAATATGAAACTTAATTGAATTGTGATTATTTTTTGTAATAATTTTCCGGATAATGCAAGCTATTCCAATGAAAATCACCTATACAATAATACATAATGTATAGCTACTAAAAATATTTTTAATCAAAATAATTTTTATTTTTAGATTTCATTTAAACTTTAATTTAAATTATATCCAATAGAGTAACACGTAAAACTATTGACACTCTGAAAATTTCGATACAATTATTGACACCCCGATTTCTAAAGTACACGTATAATTACAAAAATTAATTATATATTTGACATTTTCTTCATTCTTCGTTTATTATGTATATAATAAATTTTAAATTAATTGTAAGATTTAAATTTTAAATCATTATAAGAACTTCAATATGTAAATTTAAATTTGGTATTTTTAAGGTTCCCGCGATATTTTTAATGCAATTGTTGCACCATTTGAGTAAATAAATTTCTAATTTTATGTTTATAAAATAAAAATTATAAAATAGTTATTAAACGGAGGTGTCAATAATTGATAAAATTTTTGCTGAATTCCTATTATTGACGTGGGGTTTCCTATTCTATGAAAGTAAAGTTATTGACATCGGTTAAAAATTGCGCAAGTTGGAAATTTTTTATCATTTATTTCATTTATTTCCTTCACAAATAGTTATTCAAGAATTATTTTTTGTACATATGTATAGCCTTTAATTTATAATTAGTGTAGAATGTAAACTTACGTGGCAATGTTTAATTCAAAATTGGTAATAACGTAGCAGCTTTTGTCTCAGTGCATTTAAAATTCACTTTTTCTTTTCCAGATTGAGATTTGAGAAGTCTGGTAATAAATCTTATATCATATTACTTGTAACAGATAAAACTAAAACGGCATATCTTCTGCTATTTACCTAGTTTTATAAAATAGCTTAAAATGTACGAATTAGTTTTCAAATATGACTATTTTTTATTTTGTTACAAAGATATGCAAATAATTGTACATTTATATTATGTCAATAGCTATACTTGGGTGTCAATAATTGGGTGTCAAGCCATAACAAATTTAATTTTTATTTATTTTTATTTAACAATTGATAAACTTCAGTATATGATTCTGAAAAAGGAATATTCAAATTATATTTTACCGATGCCCAAATTTTTATAATTCCGTATAGAAAATTTTTATTAGAAATATCGCGTAAGGGTGTCAATAGTTGTACTCGTTACGCTATATATGTAATTATAATAGAAAAATTTTGTTGAAATATTGGAAAATTTCAATGGTTAAGTAGGCCGAAGTATAGGAATGTAGGTTTTATTAAAAATAATATTTATTTTTAAGTTATTTTGAAAATAATTATTAAATATTAGTGGTATCAATTTAAAACATAATTTTTTTTATAAATAATTTGTTATTTTTAAGTGTCCTTATAAAACATGCATTTAT